GCAGCAGCAGCAGCAACACCAGTGTACGACAACAACAACAAAAGACGACTGCGTGGTTCTCGCGTTGAAGATGATGGGGATGATCACCAGACTTACCAGAGGGTATTGATGGTGGTGGTGGTGGTGGTGGTGAGGATAAGGATAAAAAGGATGACAGTTCGGAAGGCGATCTGGTTGACAACCCAAACCAGAACACACTTTCACTCAGGCTGCAGCGCTCTCTTCTCTCTTCTCCGCCAGCCAACACAGCAGCAGCAGCAGCGGCGGCGGCGGCGGCGAGCAGCAGTAAGTGACGTCATCGGCGTGTGACGTCACCGAGGAGAAACGCCATCTGGCGGGCCGTACAGATAACAAGAAAATTTAAAGTTCATCGGGTCAACTTAGACTTTGATTTTGGTAAAATAAATTACGGTTTTATTCGGTTTGTTATAGTATGTTTTGTGTTGTTTGTGGTTTACAGCCCAAAACGGATGTTTCGTTTGGGTTGAAAATATAGGAGAGAATAGAGATTAGAGTTCATAATAATAATATAGAATCGGGTGTGTGTGTGTGTGATTAGAAGCGAATCGAAAGAGAGGAGACAACGAGTGCGACCAGTTGGTGGTGAAGTGAAGTGGTCTGGACATGACTCGTCTACAAGGTTACGTTGCGAGGGGAAAGAGAAGGATTGGATTGACAAGAAAGGAAGGAAGAAAGGAAGGAAGGTTGGAAGTGGTTGTGGTAGCGAAATATGAAAGAAGGTAACAAGAGAAGGTAATAATATCATAGTAGAGAAGTAGTACTGGTAGTAGTAGTAGTAGATAGGTAATTAGTAGGAGTAAATGTGGGTACGATGTGTCAGAGGCGGGTGAAGTGTTCAAGAAGAGGATTAGTTGGTTCTTGATAAGTCAAAAGAAGGTGAGAGAGCGAGGTACTCAAAGGACGACCTCGAGGAGAGGATTTCCGCTGTAGTCTTCATTCAAAGGCGGCGACGATTGCACGGAAGAGAAGAGGATTGCGCTGAAGACAACGAGAAGAAGAAATTGAGATTGTGGCGGCTGAACTAGGTAGTAATTATCACTTAAGGTGTGTCACTGTGGTGTGTGTCTGGTATGAACGGTAAAGGTGTAAAAGTGGGGGCTATCCAAAGGTAGAAAGAAAGAAAGAAGAAAGTGTACAGTAGTGGTTGTGGTAACAAGAAGAGAAGAGGAAAGGCGATCCCAGAAAGCAGAGACGACCTTGGGTAGGGCACGATTCAACATGACTGACTGATTGACTTTTGTTAATTCCTTTCTGTGGTTTGCTTTTGCTTTCAATCGTTGACTTTGCTGCGGCTGCTGCTTCGGCTTTCCTCTTCTGCGACTAAAAAGATGATTCCTTGCGCTTCCCTTTTACAAAAAAGAAGTATAGTTAGGTAAAGAAGATATGCTTCAGAGAGAAGGAGAGAAATTGCTCGATTTGATTCGCTCAAGTGGCGTACAAAAATAAAGAGAAAGAAAGAGAGAGAGAGGAGGTGGTGGCATTAAAGTCCACTGGGCCAGAGAATTGGTCGCTAGAGAAGGAGAGAGAGAATCTAGGCCCAATAACACTTGATGAGTGATTACCTGACTGAGTGTATGGGTGTGTGTGTGTTATATAAATAGGTTTCGTGTATAATAATAATGATCAGTTCATAATCGTAGACATAACCGTCGCCATCATCTTCCAAGTTGGTAACAGTAAAATAGACATTTAAAGAGGAGAAATAGAGGGAGAAAGTGTGTTTGTGTGGAGGTGGTAACCGCCAGCCCTTCCCCAAAGAAAAAGACTGATCGAGAAGAAAGTATAGAAAATAAAGATAGAAAGGGGAAAGGCGGCAGAGGAGGAAGAGGAAGAGGAGGAATAGTAGCAAAAATAACAATGTACAGTGTAGTGGGTTATAACAACAAGAATGTGTAGGTGTTGGTGTGTGTTTGCTAAAAAGAATGGCTGAGAGAGCAAGAAAGGAAGTGATGGTGATGATGCTCCAGAGAGTGTGATCAAATCGAACTGTGAAATCGTGGTGAAATGAAAGTGGTGAGATGAGAGTGTCCTGACGCAACAGACTGTGCCCTACTGCAAGGTCACACTGCGAAAACAATGGCCGAAGCGATTGTCGACGTTGGTGGTAAGGTAAGGTATGGTAATGGCGAGATGATTGAAGGAGGAGATAATAGAGCTGATGAGAGGGATGATGATAGTGATGATGATGATGACTGGGCTGTAGTACTTTCTTAAGTTTCGGTTTAGTTAGAAGAGGAAAGGGAAGGGAGGAGAAAATCGCAATTTTCTCTCATTTTTTTAGACAAATCCCCAGCTCTCAATGGACTTGACGACAAAGTCCTCCTCGCTGGACAGCGTCTGATTGCCAAAGGTCTTGCAGGGGTGGGAGCTGCCGTGGTACAGATCGCCGTCCAGCCACAGGCCAAAGTTGCCTCTGTCGGGGAGAAAGGGAAGAAAAGGGAGAAAATGAAATGAGTGCTTGCAAACAAAACAACAAAACTAAACAACGGAATAGAATAATTCCCACTGGGCACACAGCACAAATCACAGTGACTGGTGACAGGCATGTGACCGCCTCTCCTTGGCAAAGTAATTAAGAGAGACACGAACACAACAATCGAAACAAAACAAAACAAAAAGCGGTTGCACTCACTCTCCGGCGCCGACTGAGACGCTGTCAGCGTTGCCCTTGATGAAGAAGAGGTTCTCCCCGGTCCACGGGTAGCACGCAAAGTCGGGGTAGAAGGTGAAGAGGAAGGTCTCCCCGGTGCCGTAGAAGTGATCACTCAGCTGAAGGGAGTTGGACAGCAGGGCACCGAAGATCTGGTGGTGATTGCCACAAATGCCAGAGAGTCAGAGTCAGCAGTGCAGCAAAGAGAAAGAAAGAAAACATTTAAATGTTAGCCACTTTTTGCACTTTCGAGCCTATGCTTTTTGCAACTTACGGCGCCATTGGTGTCCTCGATAATGAGGAGGACGGGCGAGTCGAAGCGCTTCATCTCCCGGTACAGCGTGTTCAGGCTGAAGCCGTGAATGGCGGTGCTGTAGATGAGTGACCAGCCGTAGCCCTCGGCGCGGGCGGGCAGGTGCTTCGAGAGCTAGATGAAGTGAGAAAAAGACGTTAGAAAAAAAAGTTAAATTAAAAAATCTCCAAATCCCCTTACATTGCGAATAATGTCCGCCGTGAGCAGCTCCGTCTGCCCGTTAATGTCCGGCAGAATGGGCTCGCTGGGCTCCAGGCCGAAGCGCTCCGCAAAGCTGTGCTCCTCGCTGGAGTTTGAAATCTAAAAGAGAGAAAAAAGTTACTCAAAGTACTTTTTGAAAAACTCCCTCAACACCACTTACATTCCAGTCCGTGGACATGCCCTCTGTGCTGAAGTGGTCCTCCACCAGCTTGAGAAAGTTAAGCGGCGATCGGCGGCGCCAAAATTTGGACTTGGCATTGACCACATTCAAC